TTAGGACAGCTATGTGTAGATAGTACTTCTAGTTAACCATCTCCCCTTTAGTTTATCAGTTTAGTGTTAGGACAGCTATGTGTAGATAGTACTTCTAGTTAACCATCTCCCCTTTAGTTTATCAGTTTAGTGTTAGGACAGCTATGTGTAGACTAGTACTTCTAGTTAACCAGTCTTCCCCTTTAGTTTATTCTAGTTTAGTGTTAGGACAGCTATCGTAGTAGATAGTACGTTCTAGGTTAACCATCTCCCCTTTAGTTTATCAGTTTAGTGTTAGGACAGCTATGTGTAGATAGTACTTCTAGTTAACCATCTCCCCTTTAGTTTATCAGTTTAGTGTTAGGACAGCTATGTGTAGACAGTACTTCTAGTTAACCATCGTGAAAGTTACAACGGATATGAATTACAGATAGTGGTCATGTGATAGAAAAACGTATCTCTTAAGTATTATATTCTTACATTAAACCGTATTTAATAGAGCTTTCACCTTAAATTAACTATATCCATATATCTTATGAGTTAAGAGCGCACATTTTATATACAAACAATTTATAAAATTATTTGTGGATTGGCTCCTCTAAATATTTTTCACGAGGGTTGTTATTTATTCATCGCCAGGAATGATTTTTTTACATATTAAAGGTGATTTTTTTTAACATTTAAGAGAGTGGAAAATACATTACTTGGGAGAGAGAGAGCATAATGATATACATTTTAAATTATTTTTAGTTAAATTTTTGTTTAGAATAATATAAAATTAAAATCTTCATTTGTAACCACTTTAGTGTAAAACATGCTTTTGTATTAAACTAGCAAAAGATCACAACAGTTAAAAAAATGAATTAACAAAAAGACATGACAAATAATGGTAATAGCGGTAATGAAATTTAACATTATTCTCGCCATCATGCTTAAGTGTTAACAACATCATAGGAAATGCTATCTGTGATGTGCATATATTTTTTTATAATTGTGGATATTTGACTCTCGTGTTGAGGGAATTGGGCAAAAATGGTAATATTCTACAACATTAAATTAGATAGAAATGGTATTATTGTCCAATATTAAGTTGTGAACAATATATAATTATATAGAAATGGTATTATCATACAATATTAAGTTGTGAAAAATTTAATTATATAGAAATGGTATTATTGTACAATATTAAGTTGTGAACAATATATAATTATATAGAAATGATATTATTGTACAATATTAAGTGGTAAACATTTTTTTAATTAGATAGAAATGGTACTGTATAGTATTTGGTGTGAACAGTTTCTAAATGCGTTCAGATCTATGTTACAAAAAAAGAAACAACAAGATATTTCTAGGATCTACTAGTGTTGAGAGAGCATAGAATTCCACAATAAAAATGATATATTTATGTTAAGATCCATCCACAAATAAAAAGTAAAATTCATATTAAAATTCATTATTAAAAATTGTATTTCTATGTTAAAATCCACAATCTATGTTTTGGGGGGCACACTTTACGTACGGTTTCTGAACAAAACAACAAATGCGATTACATAGGACTAATCATAACTTAGGACTATTACAAATACACTGTGCTAAATAGTTTATGTCAGCTAGACATTAGTTTTGTTGTATAGTTGATACGTATATAATGCTTGTCAAGCGTCATTTATAAGTGTTCTTCATATAAGTTTGTTTTGTGTATAGTTTAGATATTAGTTTACTCTGGATTTCAGAGTTGTGTGCTCCAAGGAAGGTCAACGTATAGCTCTCCTCTATCCCAGATGCTCGTTCCATGAATGTTCTGCTGCTCGAGAAGCTCAGAATGTTGAGTCAGCATTTCAGGATTTTCTGTGTCAGGTATACGACATCATTCTTCATCAATTTATAGTATGTTGTCACCATTCAGAAACTGACATAGAATCTTTCTTATGTTGATATCGGCCTTTTTTAAACGTGTTAATTCATGTACAATTTATGTTTGTCAGTGGATTCAGTCAGAATTATCATACGCATATGATGGGGTTTTTCATGGTGTGTTTGCAGTAGGCAGGTTTCTGCAAAATAAAAATAAAATGGAGAAACCAGTGGCATATTTAGTGCCATAGATCATTGGAGAAACCAGTGGCATATTTAGTGCCATAGATCATTGGAGAAACCAGTGGCATATTTAGTGCCATAGATCATTGGAGAAACCAGTGGCATATTTAGTGCCATAGATCATTTTGAACAGCGAATCAGAGCGAAGGCAACCAGTCAAAAGTAGCAGCAACCGTCGCCTGAAGTGACTGCTCTAACCCAAATATTGGGATTCACAGTCACTCTTATATCACACCCATATTTGAAATTGCGAAGCATGTTTGTAAGCATCATGTCTCGAAACCGAGACCTTCGAATTCCTAGTTTGATAAGTTAACCACTAAATGACGCTCGGGCCTTTATTTACAACAAGCTGAGATTCCTGTCCTTTATCCGGATTTTTGTTTGTTTGTTTGTAATTAAGCATAAAGCTACACAATAAAACTATCTGTGCTCTACCTACCACGGGTATGGAAACCCGGTTTCTAGCTTTGTAAGTCCGCAGATATACCACTGTGCTACTAGAGACATTTGCCTTGTTATAAACTTTAAAAAATATGGGGATGGATGCTAAGATAAATAACAC